GGCAAGGAGGCATAACTCATGAGGCAACCATGAGCGGTTCAGTTGGGATGAAACAGAGTCGTGGGTCAGGAAGTGAGGGGATGAAATTCCACCAGCCAGCCAGGTAGGCTGCGCCAGACCATGAGAGCCTCAGATGCTGAGAGCTCTTGAAGGATTTTAAAGTATAAGGGGAAAAACACGCATAGTTCAGATCTCACTGGCAGAATGAACTGGTAATAACTAGAGGCAGAGAGACAGTCGGACGGCTGTTGCCACAAGCTAGAGAGAAGAGCAAAGGCCTGCAGCAGCAGCTGTCACACAAAGGAGCGGACAGAGCTACTGCAGACAGAGGTGGCACCATCGACACCTGGGAGCTTGTTAAAAATGCAAATTTTTAAGCCCCACTCTAAATCTATTGAATCAGAATCTCTGGGGGTAAAGCCCCTAATTTGTGTTTTCACAAGTCCTCCAAGTGATTCTGATGTATATATAAGTCTGAGAAGCACTTATCTATAGGATTTTGCAGTTGACTGCATGTGAGTGGTAAGGGAAAGTGAAAAGTTTAAAATGATTCCTGGGTGTCTGACCATTCACTAAGAGAGGGGACAGTGGAGGAGGAGCAGGTCTGGAAAAAAAGGACTTAAATTCTCTAAGGCACATATATTTTCCCCACATTTTATGTATTCAGAAAGTGAGACCTGGAAACATGAAATGACATACCAGGACCATTTTTCTTCCTGTTTTCAATAGTTCAATGTAAATATATCTTTGTAGCTAGCACTGTGTGTGGATATTTTTTTCTTGTATATTATGATGTTTTGACATCTTAAAAAACCTTTCTGGCTGGGGAAAGACTGCCCCTGATGGAGTGGAGAGAGGCTAGCCGATTCTTAGAGATAACAAAGGGCCCAGCCAGGATATGCACTATTGGTTAGTTTGCCTCTGATGTGCAAACTGACCAGTCCAGAGCCACAACTCCTCTACCTGGTCCCACTAACCCATGAAGCAATATTCCTTTGCCTTAATCATCCCAGGGCCAGGTACCAGGTAACTAGAGACCACCCCTATAGATGTGTGTAGATTAATCCTAAATTGTTCACCCTGCCCTGCCTTGCCTGTCCCATGAAAACCCCAATACATTCTGGCCTAAACCTTCTCGCTCCTGTCTTCTGCTGCCTGACTACCCTAGAGTCTTTCCCATGTGGCCCTGCATGCCATGCTCCCTGTCTCTAGGAACTGTGAGCATAAGCTTTGTTTTCCTGAGCCTCTCCTCTGTCTCCTCTTGTAGCCACATCTGACGGGCCATCTCATAAAAGAACACAAAACAGCTCAAAACAGTTACATGAACCAATATTTACAGACATAAGAATGTAAGACCAGTGTGTAGAAAATAAGTTTTTCTGTTGTTTATGAAAATACTGCTTTATATGGAGCAATGCATCGCTAATGAAACTTCTAAATCATTTATGGAATTAGGAGAATGTGTGGGAACTGAAATAGTATGTACCAGAACTAATATCTCAAATATGCCACTTGTCATACCACAAAACATGCCTATAAGCTTAAGGCAGGTATTTGTGGAATTGCTACATTTTGTTGAAAAAATAAAACCACAGAGGTGTTTCTGACCATGCCTCTAAAACCACATTATAGTGTAAGCATGTACACAGAAGGAACCATGGCTGTTTAAACTGTTCTATACTCAGCTGAAATCAGGAGGCCCGGATTCTGATCCTCACAGTGCCACTAACTTCTGGACCTTGACCTAGTCTATTTACCTCTCTGAAGCTCAGCTTCCTTCTCTATAAAAGGAAGGGACTAAACTAAATAAGCTCTTACATCCTTCTAGCTTTAACAGTTATTTTTTGTGAGCAGTAAGTGATGGGATTTGTTTTTTACGTGCTGACAGTAATGATTTTAAGAGGTCATCATTATCAAGAATGAGCTTGGGCTCAGGAATTCTGGGCTACAGCTTGTCACAGCCATTGGTGTCAGGGTTTAGTTCGGCATGAACAAGTACAAGAGAAAGTAGTTAGCCAAGGAGTGGTCTGCTCTCCCAGAATTAAAAGTTAAATAATAGTTAGATGAGAAAGAATAATGCAGCCAATCTCTTAAACTTTCATAAAACGCTGTTTGAACCATCAAATATCTCATGATAAACCTACTCACAACGCATCACCCCCCTACCCCCCAGATATACAATACCTGTGCACTCTCTTAGTGACTCAGCTATGAAACAGCAAAATGTCAACAGCACAGAAAACCTCTTCGTCTTTGGAAAAGGAGTATAGTTTAGTGGTTGAAAGAGCTGACTTTGACATACTAGATTAGAATCTCCACTCCATCAACTATCATTGATTGCTATGTAACCTTGGGCTATAGATTTCCCTCTTTCAGCCTCAGTTTCCTCTCCATAAAACAGGAATAATAACAGTACCTCATAGTGTTGTTATGATATTTAAACAAGATCACATATGTAAAGTATTTACTATGAGTTAGACTTATGTTGACACTAGGGTTACAATGATGAACTTACAGACCAGTAGGGGTGATGGGCAAACACATAACACGAACGTGCTGGAAAGAGGAGAACACGGTGCTATAAGAGCCTATGGTAGCTGCACTTGATCCAGTAAAGGTCAAGAAAGACTTCAGAAGTAGCTGTTGAGGTGAGATCTGAAGGGTGAGTAGGTATGTAAACTAGATGAAGGATGAGAAGAATATTCTGGGTAGAGCAATAAGCTTGTTCAAAGGCCATGTGATTGGGAGAAAGCTTCACATATAGGGGGACCTAAGAGGTCTGTATGAACGAAGCAGAAAGACTGCATGGGTGTGTAATAAGAGATGAGTCTGAAAAAGGGAGAGTAGAGATCATGCAGGACCTTTTAAGCATATTAAAGAATCCTTTCCTGATCCTAAGAGGAACAAGAAGCCATTGAAGATGTTTAAAGCAGAGAGATAAGTAACAGCAATCAGATTAGCATTTTGGAAAAGCCACTCTAGTGTGGCAATCAGATTATAAAGAAGCCAGAGGAAATGAGGATAGACAAATTAAGGGGCTATTGCCCAATTAAGACATGATGGTAGCATGGATTAGAATGATGACAGAGGTGGAAATAAATTGATGGGCTCCAGAGACATTTAAGTAAAACCTACAGGACTGAACATACATAGGACATATAGGCAATGGAGAAAAAGATGTCAAGAATGACACCTTGTTTTGGGGAGGCTTAAGAAATTGGCTGAAAAGGAACAATGGAAAAAGATCATGTTTTTATTTTGTTTTAAAAACTTTTGGGGAGGGGGTGTATGAAGAGTACAAAAGATCAAGTGTTAAGATTTGCACATGCTGATTCTGAGGGTTCTTAAAAATATCCAAGAAGAGACATCAAGTATGTAGTTGGGTACAAGCTCAGGAGAGGTACGGGCAGGAGATACAAATTTATTAGAAGAAAAATTTCATCTTGACCATCATCAACAATTAATGGCCTGGTTGAGAATAAACCAGAAAAGAACATGGAAAAGAAAGAGCTGGAGAAGCAAGAGATACTACATATCAGAAGCCAAGGAAGACAAGAATTTAGGAAAGGTGAAGAAGTAAATAGTAGCAAATACTTCTAAGAAGTCAAGGAACATGAGGTCTGAAAAACTGTCTTTTGTCTTTTTTTTTTTTTTTCTCCGTGTCCGGCAACCTTCAGTGTTGCCCCCGTACCGGACCGGGGACCGGCAACGGGATTGCAACCCTCGGTGTTGCTCCCGCGCCTCGCTCAGCCAGTGAGCGGGAACCGGTCTGTATGTGGGATCCGAACCCTCGGGCGGGAGCGCCGCCGCACTTCCCAAGCGGCGCACTATCCAGTGCGCCACCGGGCCGGCCCTGAAAAACTGTCTTTTGGATTTAGCAACATGGAGGTCTTCAATGACTTTAGTGAAAGCTATTTCAGAAGAATGATGGAACTGGCTGGATATGTTAAAGAGAAAATAGGAGATAAGGATATAGAAACTGCAAAAAACTTTCAAGGAAGGAAGGAGAGATACAATGGTAGCTGCGGATGGATGAGAGATTGAGTAAGATGTTTTTGATTTGTTTCATGATGGGACAGATTCATGCATACTAAAACCCAATGGGAAAGATACAGTTGAGAGGGATAGGTTGCCCACATAAGAGAGAAAAGGGAAAAGTGATAAAGTTCCTGACAAGAGGATAGGAATGAGGTAGGAACGAGAAGGAGGAATTCGCCTCAGATAGGAAGAGGGAGATTTATGTTTGGTATTGGGAAGATGAGGATTCCCATATGATGGCTTCTATTTTCTCTAAAAGGAAGAGAAGAGGTCTTCAGCTGGGGGTGGAGCCATTGAAAAGAGTTGAGAACATTTCAAATAATCCTTATGAAGAAAAGGAAAAAGAACCCAACACAGAAATGGAAGAAAATTGCTAGGCAGTTATGAGGGTCCATTTGAGGTACGTGACCATGAAATTATAGTGTAGCAAATCACTCCTGTTGTACATAGTCATATAGATCACTACTTGTAGAGAGACAGTAATAAAAATGTAATATTCGTCAGCATTGTTCCTTTCCTCCTTACCTATCAGTGGGACCTTGAATAGGTCCCCTCCAACATTCTAATTTCCCTGACTGATTCATTAGTGATATGGGAAAAGGGGCAATATTTCATTTATCCCACACTTATCAGGTCTCATGACTGGGACCATCTAGAAAGGGATTAAAAGTTTTCTGACTACTCTGAGCCAGTGTTTAAGGCCAAACTATTCATTGCCCATAGGAACAATTTATCCTTACATAAACAATTTCTGCTAAGTAACTATAAAGTTATTATACTAGCACTCCATTTCTAAAAAAAATATACAGAAACAAGAAGTAAACTGGAAATCTACCTTGTATGTGAATTATTACTTTCTTCAATCAGAAAGCATAAATATTCTTTTGTTTAAAAATCAGCTGTATAGAATTATAATTTCTCAGATCAAAGTACATACTTATTTCTTGATTATGAAAACTCACTTATGTAATGCTTCCCAGGCTTCCTCTTCTTCTAGAAGATCTCTTATGATGTCTGAACTGGAACTAAAAGAATATGTACATCAGTATTGCCAGACAACAAAAAAACGGTATGCTTCCACTTATATAAAATTCTAGAAAATGCAAACTAGTCTATAGCGACAAGAAAGCAAACTAGCGGTTATCTACAGGGGCAATTTGATGGGGCGGGGGGGGGGCAGGTGGGGTGGATGGGCAAGAAAGGATGACAAGGGCCGAGCCCGTGGCGCACTCGGGAGAGTGCGGCGCTGGGAGCGCAGCAGCGCTCCCACTGTGGGTTTGGATCCTATATACAGATGACCGGTGCGCTCACAGCGCTCACTGGCTGAGCGCAGTGCGGCCGGTCTCAAAAAGGACAAAAAAAAAAAAGGATGACAAAGTGACACAAGAAAACTTTGGAGGTGATGGATATGTTCATCGTCTTGATTGTAGAAATAGTTTCATACTGTATACATTCATCAAAACTCGAACTGCACACTTTAAATATTTGCAGTTTACTATACATCAAATACATTACAATAAAGCTGTTAAAAAACTTAATTAGCAATAATAATGAAAAATATCACTAAAGTTTAAATAAATCATCCATCAACATAAAACCTGGATCCAAATGGAAAAGTCACGAGCCTTTTCAATTTCTTATGCCAACCAAAGATCAAATCATGTTTTAAAACCTGCATTTCTAGTAATGAGATTCACAAGAGATATCAAGTTCCTAAGTGCCTTTTAGTTTCTTTGTAACTGAAGTAAAGCAAAAATTAATTAATTTTAACTGTGCTAATAATGGAGTTGTTATAATTCGACCTGGCTTACAGTGCTGTAACTTTAGCCTACCTGTGCAGGGTAAAGAAGGTTACAGAAGGCAGGTATTATTTCTTTAAAAACAAAAGCTGTTTTAAGGCTTTATGCATCTTGTTTTTACCCAAATAAACAATTTTTTTTTTAAAGATGACCAGGAAGGGGATCTTAACCCTTGACTTGGTGTTGTCAGCACCAAGCTCACCCAATGAGCTAACCAGTCATCCCTATATGGGATCCGAACCCATGGCCTTGGTGTTATCAGCACCACTCTCCTGAGTAAGCCACGGACAGGCCCCAAATAAACAATTTTTTTAAAAGGATATATGTATCAACATCAAAAAATCATTTCTTTAGACATCCAAGATATTGACTGTCATGGACATTGTATGGGACAACTCAAGTAGTTGTCACTATCCCAGGGTGGAAAAGGCTAAAACAAAGGAATATAATCGCATATTCTCTCAGGTGAGAAAAAACATTTTAAAAAATGTTAGTGCCAATCATTTCTCTGATGATATTAATAAATAAAAGTTTAAAAATTATGAAGATTGAAAGTGTCCACGACTCATTCTTAACCACTTCTGACAAATCGCTTTGAAGCAATGTTTGCCTATCATGACTGAGCAAAAAAAAAAAAAAAAAAAAAAAAGGCAGCGACAGTCATGACATACAGTCTGTACCAAATGTTTTATTCAAGGGATTACCCCCTAAGTCCCAGGACTCTCACTATATGCAGGGCCCACCCTGATTGTGATTTAAATTTGTAATGGCCTATGTGTGGAGAATCCAGCCACACTGCAAGCACATCGACCCTCTAATAGATCTAGCACAATGGTTCCCAGGCATTTCATTCAGGATAAAGAGCTCATATAGCACTAGCAATATTTTTAGTATTTGTGGCTTGAGAAAATACATAATAATAAAGAACCATTATAAGTTCAGTAATACTTTTAGTTTGTATGTTAGTCCTTATAGCAGCTCATGCATACATTTCTTTAGTATATTCATTTGTGAAATACTATTTCATCTACAGACAATCATATTTTATCTATAGACCCACTGCAACCATTACTTCAGGCTCCTGGGTTGGAAACCATTGATCTAGCCTATCATTTGTACTTAAGCATCTACTACTCTTTTATACTGCGGGTAGCCCCTTGCTCCAATGCAAGTGTCCCTAAGAATAGCAATGCATTAATTTATCGTCAGCCACTTTCACCTTAAACTGGTTTACAACAACCTTTCCCATTAAATAGATAGCTAAATGTAGTATGTTTTTTTGGAATAAAGGAGGAAGAGCAGAAGGCCTGAAGGACATTAAGGCAGATTTCACCAACATTATTATTTTCTGAAGAGATGGACCCTCACAACCACTCACTAGGGAGGGTTATACACACTGTCACACCAATACCCACAGAAGCAGTTCCAAACCTTTCCGTTTACAGGATCCCAATCCTTGTTACTCCTTACTTTGGAGATAACTACTCCAACTTTATAAAGAAAACTGAAGCTACTTTAACCTAACCTTTTCCTTCCCTTTTCACTATCCAAAGTAATCCATTCTTCTTTACCTGGATAAAGTTTAAGGCAGTGTTTCTCAACATTTTTTCATTATCATTCCCCTAAGGAGCCTTTTCAGACTTTTTTCCACCCCACCAATGAAAATTTAATACCACAAATATAATGTCTACCTGTTTATGTAGTGTGTGTGTATATATCTGTGCTGTATACATAAAAGAAGTTTTTTTTGCATCCCCTCTTTGCCCCCACCTAGATCCAATTTCCACCCCCATGGGGCAGATATCACTCCTACAGAGAACCCATGAGCTAGAGGAATGAGAATTAGGGGGTGATCATGTAGCTCTGGGGCCTGATAGGTATCACAGAGCTAGAGAAAGAGTAAAGTCAGCTTCTTGCCAACACCTCCAACGCATCGTTTTTTTTAACAGGAAGGACACAAAGCATCCCTACAATTCCAGCCAAGTGAGCAGGACAGCCAAACCTGTCAACCAACCTAGTAGAGTCTGTGATCAATTTACCTAGGTGCTTTCAAATTACCAGCACAAATCACTGATTTGTTAAAGGGAAATATTTGCGGTACATTAATGAGATATACCTAAGAGGTTTTTGCTATGCTACCTCAGTGAAAACAGATGGTAGAGGAAGTTTACAAAAAACACAACTCAGAGGTTGCCTGCAATCTCCTCTTCCTCTGTGACTTCGATCTCACTGCATGGCCAGGCTATGCAGCTCCCCAATGTACTCAGCTTGTTACCTTTCCTTCACCTCCACCTCAGGCACTTACCTGCATGAAAACCAAATCACTAAGTGCACCAACACAAAGATTAGGAGGTTGGGGGGGGGGGGGGGAGGGCACCAACACAAAGATTAGGAGGTTTGAAGTTTACCTACAATGAAGTTTAAGGATTATTTGCTATATTTGCTGCTCCAATTCTAGTCACCACTGAAAAACTGAGAGTCGATGCTAATGCAATTAAAATGCCACACAGAATTGTTAATTCCTTTTTAAAGTAATGTACTTACTATATTCTACTAAAAAGCTACATTCCAAAGTTTAAGGATTATTTGCTATATTTGCTGCTCCAATTCTAGTCACCACTGAAAAACTGAGAGTCGATGCTAATGCAATTAAAATGCCACAAAGAATTGTTAATTCCTTTTTAAAGTAATGTACTTACTATATTCTACTAAAAAGCTACATTCCTGAAATTAAACATACAGTTTCACAAACAGAATTTTATAAAGAGACTATTGTGCTTAAAAGTCAGTGTTAGTAAAATTACCACTCTCAGATCTCTTCCTTGTGGATAGAAGCAAGTGATATTCCTTAAGTCTTAGTCACTTTAACATACCTTTAAGATGAAAAATTCCTTTAATATACTTTCAAGACATCTAAAAATTGTCCACCAGAGAAAATGAGTTACTGACTTTCATATACCTGGGGTCTGAGCATGCACAAGCCTACACAACTATAGATTTTAAGTTTAGAACGAGGAACTTTTTCAGAGTAAACTTCAGCTTCTCTACTATTTGGGTTTGGAACATTCTGGAAGGCCACTCTTTAAGAAGCTGGATGGAAATGAGGTCTGGTACATGAAAGTTACAGCTGTCCTGTGAAAGGGCATTCAAATCGTGCTCTCTGATGTCACCATCGGTCCAAGATAGAGTGGCTATTACTTTAAATACAAAGATTCACTGGCAAAAAAATACAAATCTTGAATTCTATGGAATTCCCAACCTCTGTTCAGGAAGATTCCAGTAGGCTTATTTAGAATACCCACACTTAATTTTTCATACCATTTAGACCTTTTTTCAGCTCAGTGTTTCAGAAGCTTAAGCTAATTCTGTGTGTGCGTGTGTATGTGTGCATGCACATGCACACACACCACACCTTGGCTTACTTACTTATCCTATATTTTACCCTTGTCATTTTCCGACCCAAAGCAGCACAACTTCTCATCAGGCAAAGAAAGACATCAGCTTGGCATGTTCCTTTTGTAGCATCTTATTTCATTCTTATTGTTGTTGCTGTCTTTTTTTTTTTAAGGATATGCACATCTATTTGTTCAAATAAATACATAAACTGAATAACAGATTAAAAACAAAATACTCTTTAGAAAGTAGGGCTCCAAATTTTCACAAAAATTGGAGATGTAAAACTTATTAAAATTTACTTATTTTATAATCTCTACAATTATTTGAAATAGCTCTTTAAAGTCTTCCAAAAGCATGCAAATATCAAATTAATTTCAACAGAGGAAGATGAATAAACTTTTCAAAGGTAAATTAATTTCTCAGGAAATCAACAAGTCCACTTAATAGAAAGAAATCAAGAACAGAAATTAAATATCTAAGTTGACCACCATAAATTGCATAAAAAATCAATAAAACAGAACATAAACACAAGGGCATTTCAAAAAGTTCATGGAAAAATAGAATTGAAAGATAATGGAGGGCTGGCCCGGTGGCGCACTCGGTAGAGTGCGGCACTTGGGAGCGCGGCGGCACTCCCACGGAGGGTTTGGATCCCATATAGAGACCAGTCCGCTCACTGGTTGAGCGCGGTGCGGGCGTGACTTAGTGCTTCTGTTCAAGTTACGGACCTTGGGCTGGCCCGGTGGTGCACTCGGTAGAGTGCGGCACTTGGGAGTACGGCAGCGCTCCCACGGAGGGTTCGGATCCCATATAGAGACCAGTCCGCTCAC